GTTGTCATATTTTGCTAGTTGCAGTTTTATTTGTGACTCGAAGATTAAGTTTATCCATTGGCAAATTAAATTTTTGTGGCTCTTTTGAAATATTGATGAGAAATGAATTGAAATTCTACAACGGAATATGTTATTCGCTTTCATTCGCAGTTGTCAATTTTGTACAAAGTATAGCATACAGCGATCTATATATCCACAGATAATTATCGTGATCTATCATCATATATTTTGATTTATTTCACGGTTATCTTAGTGAGATCGTTTGGACGTACAATTTAATCGACTATTCCTAATATCTATGACTCCCAAACCACTTTTCCATATTAGCATGTGGTAAGGCCAAGTAGGATATATATATTATCTATAATTAATTAGCCCAGTTTTATGCACAACAAGGACAGAACTCATTATTTTTCACTATTTTCGTCGACTAAAAAGCTTTCTGACCACATTATTCGAAACAGCGTGAAAAACTGAACAAAACTGTCGTTTCCGAATTCTAATAAAATAAAATTCAACAGGATTCTTACTCAAGTTAAATTTTGAAAAAGTGCATCGAATTTTTAATTTCCGACGTATTATCTAGAAAAATAAAATTCAGAATTCTTGAAGTACCTTAGCTTTATAAAGTACAAAGTTCTGTATGAAACAACACCACCCCCAACCTTGTACAACTTCTCGTCCGACCGATTGAAAATTTTTAATTTCATGACTCACACATCAGATGGCGCTTTTAAAACATTGTAAAAAGCACCATCTCATGAGTGGCTTCAAGTCATAACAACTCACAAGTCTCGCATTCCACCGATGGAAATACTTGTGGCTGAAGTTTTTTTCAAGTTATATCCTCGATTTTGTTCTGATTCACAATTAAAGCTTCAACCAGAAACAAAATACAAAAGAATTGCAACAAAAACATACACATTGAAGGATAATATCGGGTCATTGCACAGCTTCAATCATTGTACAGAGTGTAGGAAGGAACAGTCAAGTTGATTTTTGCAGTTTGCCTGTAGAGGTCAAGCCCGTGTGTTCCATTCTAGTTTCGTATAAGGATTGATTTTGTCTTATTAGTTTAAGTTTCAGAATGATATAATGGCCATTTATCTCGATTTCGTTCTGTTTAATGATTAAAGCTTAAACCAACCTTTCCATGTAGGAAGGCTTGACGCGCCGGAAGTGCTTAACTTTCTTCTTCTTAAACCATCCAGAGAAATGTCTAACTGCCGGACACAACTATAAATTTTGGTTGATATTTTTAGGCGATACGAGAAATTAGAGAAAAAGAGAAATTCATTTAGAATAAAGGCTAAAGCTTCGAATCTTCGAACCAGTTGATGACTAAGAGATGTTAAAAAAACTTTGAGCTCCTAACTTGCTGTTTTGACTGACGTGAGTTATTAAAAAAGTTGTTAAAAAAAGTGTTAGTGATCGTCTTCCTTGCCGAAGCGAAAACATTTTAGAACTTTTGAAGAAGCAACACGGGCTAGAATACTCTTAGACATTTTCTCAGGACAATAGACCCTATATTTTAAACTATTTTCATGTGAACATCGTTGTGAATAAACTGACATTTTCCTAAGTAACTCGGTGTCCTCTACATCGAGGACATGTCAAAAAAGATGAAAACAAATTTTGCTCTAGCTTTGAATTGCTTAATATTAGATGCTTGTGATTTAGAGTGGAATTTGGGAGAAAAAATTTATAACAAGAGGTAAAATTATTATTAGATGGAACAGTGACTGACTACTAATGAGATTGGAAGGGGGAAGGTTCAGCACAAAGGATTTTCAGCACGAAAGTTAGCTTTTATCGGTATTTACCATGACATCAGAGTTAACTCAGATGGAAGTACCAGATCCTGCAATTACTTCTTCCATATTTTAAAAAGAGTTTCCTCAAATTTGACCGTTTTTCACGCACCATCACCAATAGTACGCTTCTTCCTCTCTGATGTTTTAGATGCTGTAATTATACCGTTCTGCAGAGCAAAGTCTTTTCTACATTTTAAAAACACATATCTTAAATTAACGAAGGCCCAATTCGAAAATTAATTTTGTAACGTTTCCTACAAATTGTGAGAGATTTTAATTGTAACAGAATGTGAATATTAACTTAAACAATACCGTCGACTACTCCTTGAACAACTACCCAAGCCAAACATCTTTTCTTTATAGAACAGATTTCGATACAGGCTCTCTGTTTGAGATGGCTAAACCGACATTGGACTTGTAAAATTTTTTGAAATGAAGATAGAAAAGAAATACTCGGAAACCACTTTCCATCAACGCTTGGAAAACCAGTTTATTTCTCTAAATAATTTTCATCAATCTTTTTCTATTATCAGATGGGCGGAAATTTTCAACAAAGTATTTTCCTGCCTAGAAAGAAGCCTGAGAAGGAAAAGATGCACTTTATTTGAGAATGTGCAATTTTGCATAGGTTTTCAACATTTCTCATAAATGTAGTGGCTTTATACTTTTTTTCTCTTCAAGAATTCAATATATTTTGAAACCAGTAATAGTACTCAGCTTGACGTGACCAAGATACTTAATGTCCACACAAACTTTAATAATAAATGTAAAATCAATATAAACTTCAATATCCGTATAAAACGATAGAGTATGGCAAATAAACAAATCAATTCATGTAGAGGTCATGAAGTACCTCAAAAAAATTACAGTATCTCACTGCCAAAAAAATGTGTCACACCGTTATTTTTTTTTCTTGCCAGAAACTTCTAGAAAAAAACTTTTTTACTGTTGCATAGATCGAACAGTTAGCTACAATGAGCCTTGAACGATTTTTTTCCAATTCCTAGTACATACTTTTTAGCCACTGGTAAGACTTCCTTAATATAACGTTCATGATCTAAAGTTCCTTCTTCAAAAATAACCAATGGTGATACACCCTTGGAACAAACACCTAACCAAACCATTACTTTGTGTGGAAACTGTTGCTGTTGCTTAATATCACCTTTAGCATCAGCTGCAGCAAGATTAATTGGAAGTTATGATCTTTTCGGAAGTTAGGACGTATCCAATCGGCAAACGTAATTCTTTTGGCCTTGTGGATATTTGTAAGTAATGGTTCAATCCGTTACTTATTTGGTCGAAGACCCAGATCATTTTTCGGTATACGTCGGACCGATCGTTCAGAAATATCTAAACCACTTGCTAATTTTCGAGATGATACTCGTTATTTTCTCTTTAACCGGTTTTTCACTTTTTGAATCATTTCTTTGGTACGAGTAACACGTGGACGACCGGTCGGACTTGATAAATTAATTGAGCCGGTCTCCTTGATCATTTTGCACCACCTTCCGATCGTTCTAAGACCAGTAACACCATTTAAACGACGAAATATCACCGGTGGACTATCACCATTTTTGTACTTGAAAATTACAACGTTTTGTAAGTTTTTACTTTTCATTTTTTAAAAACTAACTGTATCTAAAAATGAGACATAGACTATAGGTTTTTCTAGAAAATTTCACGGCGCATCTTTTTAAAAAAAATTTAACTCTATAGCGTGAAGTCCAAAAAAGTTATGGTCAAAGTACAAATCGGTCATTTATTCTGCCGCACCCGTTATTTTGAAAACGTAATTCCTCATAGAGATTTTGAACAAAAACATCAATATCTACGTTATTTAGCACATGAATTTTATTTAAAAAGTTCATATTTTTATGTAATAGATCAATAAGATTTTCACATTTGTGCTTATTCATTAAAATATTATCAAAATTAATTTGAATAGTTTTTTTTTGCGTTCGTTGAAAAATAAATTGAATTTTTCGAAAAAGATTTTTTTATTTCCAAATATAGAATTGTATTGATGTGTTTTGATATTAAGTAAATATTCGTAAAGATCTTTAAGTATACTTTTGATTTTCGATTCAATTCATTGATTAAATAGAAATTGTAAGTAAATTCTTGAATATCTGTATCAATATCGTTCAATGTGATATGTTTATTAAACAATTGAAAAATATTGAATTTTCGATTTTTTTTAATGTAATTAATAATTCGAATATCTTCATCAATATTATTTTGTTTTTCTTGAAAATCTGTTTTAATTTTATCAATAAAATTTTTGAATTTTTAAAATTGTTTTTCTCCTATTAAAAGAATTAATTCTAATTCATCAAATAATTGTTGAAATAATTGAGATGAACAATGAATTTGACTAAAACTTAAATCTCTTTTCATTTGATGTAATCGAGAACCTTGATTCGAATCAATATGAATGATAAATAAGTATTTAGTTACGAATTTAAGAAAATTTTTTATCTTTCTTTTACAGAGTAAATATTCGTGTTTATTTTCGATTGTTTTTTTTAAAACAATTGAATATTCTTGCAAACGGTTGAAAATTTTTCTTATTTGATTGAAGAAATTCATATATCAATTGCTCAATGACATAAATATCGACTGGTTCAATCGGATGATAAATCGGTGTACATTGATTTAATTGAAATTCTTTAGAAATCTTTTTGTTTTGTAATATATCAATGTATGACAATAAGAATTCTTGATTTTTTTTCGATTCATTTAATTGATATTTTTGATTGAATTAAAATAGTTAATATTTCTTCTAGAAATAATTTCATTAAATTTCTATATCGGTTTTCATCAGAAATAGAAAAATCATTTTTATTGATAAAATTATTCATGTCAAATAGTTGAAAATTCGTCGTATCTTCGATTTCATTATAATGAATAATTTGATCGAATCTTGACATTTTATAATTAATTAATTCTTCGCTTCCATATTTGAAACAAATTTCATTTATCAATACATAAATATTTAATTGATGAAGTTTATTTCTCATTCGTACTATTACTTTTTTTCGTTGTTTCGATTTGTCTAATTGATCAAAATATGATTTTAATATGAATGATTCATATTGTTGATTTGTTGAATTAAAGTAAAAACGTTCATGATTTTTCCTTAATAACGAAAAATCTACATCGAATAAACGTTCGTCAGTCTTCGTTGATTGATTATTTTCCAAATGTAATAAATTAATTTGATTTGTTTCAAATGATCTTGTCGCATTGTCAATATCAATTTTAAATAGAATACCCTTTCCTTTTTGTTTTAATGATCGAATTTGATGATCTATTTCTTTTATCTTTATTTTGAACTTTTCCATTAAATGTTCTTTTTTCAATTCGTAAGATTCTGTTAATTTTTTGATGATTGAAGTATGTCTTTGAAATTGTAGACATTCTTTTTCATCTGTATCAACAGTTAATTGTGATCGAATAGATGAGTTTTTTTTTATCTCGACGAATCTCAGTATCTGCTGTTTTCAAAATATGATTTTTTATTTCGGATTTCATTGTAGTTGTATGTAATGCTAATGATTGTTGAACTATTCTATATGCATTTTCAAGTACTGAATTTGATAATTGATGTGTTTTGACTCGCGTTTGACGTTCATCTAACATTTCATTTCTTTGATCTTTTAATAAATTGATTGAATTTGTTATGTTATTGGAAATTTGATTTGTTTTTTCAGTATGATTATTAATCGCTTGGTTTAGTTAATTTTTTATCTGTTTTTCATTGGATTTTTCTTTGTTTTCGCATTTCTGACGAGTTTTTCCCGAATCGATTTGCATATCTGCGGTTTTTCCTTGAGCTCTACTTATTCCATCTCTTTTCTTATGTTTGTCGTGGTAAATCACTTCGATATCAAATGAAAACCAATGCGCTTTATGAAATACCGTTAGAATATATCCTTCACAAGTCTCTATTGGAGCAAACTTATGACGTTTATAATAGAGAGTATCAACACCATCATATCCTCCTACACCACCTTTTCCACCTTCACCAGGTTTTCCATGTTCTGCACTTCTATTCGATTTATCAATTGATTCGATTTTGTCAACAAGTGGACTATTATCTTCTATATGAACCTCACCAGCATGTCCACCAAATCCGCCTAAATTTGCATCACCTCGATTTCCACCATCTCCACCTGGTACACCTGGTTCACCCTCTTTAAGATCATAACCAGAAAATAAAAAGCCTAATCCATGATCTTTTGGACCAGGATCACCATTCTTTTCATCATGGTCATTACCTCCACGTCCTCCATTTCCACCATTACTACCCTCGTCTCCCGATGTAATCAATTTTTCTATATTCTCTTGTCCTTTGAAATATTTATTAACAATAAAATAAATATTACCACCAACTTGACCATTTTCACCAGGTACACCATCCAATCTATCTTCAACACATCGTTTTCCATGTGATCCGCCTTTACCATTTGCGCCATCGGCACCTTTCTTTCCTGTTAAATCTACTTTTATTTTCGTATTTGGTTCATCCGTAACAAAATTAATTACATCCGAATTGATTATCAAGTTCATTCCAGACCAATGTTCATTTTCCAATGATACGTTTACAAATATATTGGTACCATAAAATCTTACTTTTTGAATATTAAATATCTTAAGTTTTATTAGTATATTCTCAATGATTTCACTTAAGAAAATATTGTAATTTTTAACGATTAGAATCGAATTCTTAAGATTTATTTGAGGCTTTTCGAATGAATCTTGAAAGAAGTTGAAAGGGAATACTATTTTCATCACTTGTTTTTAACGTTCGATAAAAATCTTCTTCTTCATTTTTATCATCGAAAAATAAATCAATATTAAAACGATTTAATTGATTTATTAAATCGTTAAATTATCATTTTTAATCGATTTAATAAATGAAAATATTTTTGTTTATTTTCATGTTGTTCAATTAAATTATTGATTAATTCTAAAGCTGACTTATGACTTTCTTCAATTTCTTTACGATGTTCTTCGATTAATTCACAAAATAATTTTTTGAAATAATTTAATGTATCTGTTAAATCAATATTATAATCAAAATCAGCAATCACTGACCAAAACTCAAAATAACATTGATCATAATTATCAGTTTTTAAATAAAAAATAATTCTTTCATTCAAAATTTT